TCTTCCAGATCAACTCGTGACCAAACATGATGTACCAGCTGCAGGGGACAGAGAGCATCATGGGAAATGTAGTCAATCTTTCATTTATATATTATTATTAATATCATTATGGAGGGTTGAACTCACATCCCGAACAACGCTCCTCCTAAATGCGCCGCGTGGTCGAAGTACCGCCATCCCAGAACAACGCCGGCCGTGTCCATGGCAACGATTGCCTTCAGCGCCTGGTAACGAAAGGACGTAAATATTATTTTTAATTAAAGATAATCATTAAAAATGTAATATCTGAGCTTTCAGAGAAACACGATTTCAGGTATTTCACTTTGAGGATGAGTTTCTAAGTTTTATTATATTTATTTATTTGACATTTTATATTTTAGAATGAATATTTTATCTTTATTTCATCATTTCATGAAGAAATACTCATATTTAAACAAACACATTTCAGTATTTTAGTTAAAATACAAAAAAAAATGAATGAATAAATAAAACTAAATAAATGTCTTTGGATAAAAGCCTCAGCCAAATGAAACGTATCTCACATTGGTGGCGTTTTTGAAAAGTCTAAATATTTGAAAAAAAGTCAGAATTTTGTCAGAAATTTTTACATCTTTGAAAAAAGTCTAAATTTAAAAAAAAATCTGAATTTTTGAAACATTTTTGAAACAATTCAGAATTTTGACATTTTCAGAAAATAGTCATAATTCTTCAATTGAATTAGCCCTCATTATGGTATGTCTCGCTTGAAGTGAACACGTCTGCACTTCCCTTGTTGTTGGATCTCTATGGTTCCTGCACTGATTGTCTCCAGTCTCTTTGGATAAAAGAGAAATGAAGCGTAACTCACGTTGGCGGCGCTGAAGGTGAACATGGGGAGGAAGATGATGGCGAGTTGAGCTTCAGGCATTTTGGTGCAAACGGCAGCGAGGACGGTCATGATGGCTCCGGACTGAAACAGATTCACATATAATCACTTTTATTATTCACTAACAAGCATCAGACAGGAGGCCGAGGGGAAAGCCAGACACTAAACAGGAATTCATTTACCTTTACGTTACGTGAAAACACTTTCTTTTCTTACTGTCACTTTCTGGGTCGGACTAGCCATCTGTATAATTTCCCCGCAACGAGGCTCCCCCTTTGACAGTCCACTAGCGCAGTGTTTCTCAAACTTTTTCATACCAAGGATCACTTAAGGCGAGACACGGCAGGCAAAAACATCGTTTTTCAAGCACTGGTCAATTTTGAGATTTTGTGCTATTTTGATTCTATAACATGTTTTCTTTCAGGCTTTTGGAAGGAAAACGTACAAAATACACATTTAAGTGTTTATTTGACTATAGTTTGTCTATTTGCGTCAGTAGATTTCTCCTAAATTCACCAAAAGTTAGCTTTCTAACGTAACAAAGTACCGCGACCGCTGTGTGCACCATGTCAACAGAAATATCGTTAGAAAGCTGTGTCTCTCCTGCACAATCTCATCGGATCCAAATATGGTCATTTCCTTTGTATCAGCAACCAATCGTGAAAGCACAAAGGGGTCTTAAACCAAGAAACGAAATCTCATTGGCTGGTGTCAATTTCAGACAACGTGATTCGTTCAGATGCGTCACGTGGTGTGCTAAAACACTTCCTGGTTAGCTTTCCGCTAGAAATGTAAATCTCAAAATGGCAAAAGAACGGCGAAAAAAAAGTTTACAGAGAAGATGACAACAATTATCCCTTGCA